TGCCCGGGCACCAGCTGGCCCGGCACGGGGCCGAGGCCGGTCCAGCCGAACCAGCGCCCGACCGCCCGGTCCAGCCGAGCCGGTGGTCCGGCCAGTCAGCGAACCGACCGGTTCGACCGGCGATTCGAGTCTGTTTTGATTCGTGACTTTTAGTCCGAGTCTATTTTTGAAATTTTAGTATTTTTTCGAGTCAGTCTAGTCCAGTTTAATCACGTAAATAAGTCCGAGCATTTTAGCATATAATTTAATATTTCGAGCATTATATTTAGCATTATTTTGCTTAAGTATTTATGTAGCCTAAGGAGAGTCGAGCCTCCGGCCGCTACTCCAATTTCAGCACTTGCATTAGATTCCAAGTTTTTAGGTGGGGGTCATGTACTGGATTCCACATCATAGATAATATCTGTACCATGGCAGAAGTATGTATTGAGACAGTTAGTTCCGGGTGGGGGCCGACCTAAGAGCTTAAATATCCCATCTGATGACCGGTGGGGGGCCGACCTAAGGGCCATTATACCCCATCGGCGTGTGCACACGAGCGGCCGACCTAAGGGCCGAGGGTCTTTTGACCACAGAAAAGAAAGAAAAGAAAAGTTTACAGTTTCAGCTCTTATATATTTATGTTCCTGACACGTTATTATAGATGATGTTTTATTTAGTACTGGTCTTTGCGGAGCATAGTGGTTTGCTCACGCCCCCATTGTGTTTTTCAGGAGACGGAGTCGAGCGTGCCGGATGAGCACAGATGTGGTGAAGCGTGGTCATGAGAGTTGGGCATATTTTACGCACATTTTTATGTCCTAGTTTATGATCATGTATTTGATTCAATTATGTATGCATGTATTCTGTATTTCGGACGCTTCCGCTAGCAAACTAGACAGTGCGAGACAGTTCAGACATTGCATGTTTAATTCCATTATCCGCAGCGGATATCTTGGTTGCATGTTTTATTTATGTTTATGAGTAAGTTAAGTAAGTTTTTTATCTGTGACATCCCGCAATAAGTTAGTATTGTCGAAAACCAAGCTCGCACGACCTTTCGAAAATAAAAATAAAAATTTTACTCTGATTTTTCAAAGCTAGTAAGGCGGGGTGCGACATTTATTTAATACCCCTAAATAATTAATGAAATTCTCAGTCACAATGAAAACCATGAGACTGACAGAACCTATTGAATTTGGGAACAAACTAAGAGATGATATTCTTATAAATCCATCTAACACCTGCTGAGATGCCTGTGCCATAATAACAGTCAAAGTTATGTTATGAAAAATGCAGCCCTCTGTTTACTTAGTTGTTCTGTAAATGCAACATATGCGCAGATGATCTTGATTGTTCATTATTTTACTTATAACAGTTGAAAAGATGAAAGGTCTTTCGAAATACTTCCGAGGATCTAAATAAATGCTCAATCTTTTGGTAAAGGTAGCTGAATGTGTACATTCCTCCAGCCTCATCACTAGAAAGAGTGCCTACCCGAGACTGCTCATGATCAAATGTCCTTGTGACAAAAGTATGGCTGTTCACATAAATCTTTAAACATATAATTCAGCACTTCAATAGCCCTAGATATCACTTGAAACTTCTTCACGAAATATGTAATAATTTCCCATCTCAACATTTTGTGAGGAAAAACTGGCAATGATAATTTTGAGAAGCTGAAATTATTACTGGATCTCTCTTAAACATATACAAGCACATATCACAACTGCATTGTTTGCATTTATCAATTAAAAAAAAAATAATAATAATAATAATAAAACCACATCTACTTTTTACCCGAGATACAAATAAATAAAATTCAGTTATCTTAGAAACACAAATACTCAGCATATATTTCTCTATTGAAAATACAAGCTCAAAGGAAGAGAACTAAGGGACACAAACCGCAAGTGGTGTTGATAGCACTTTAAAGGGGACATTTAAAAATTTCAGGGAATAAGTAGAGGCTTTCCTTTAACCAGAGGCAAAACCTCAAAGGTAATTTCTGTAATAATCATCACAAATGCATTACACAAATGGTTCCCTTATCTATTTACACAAAAGACTATGAATAATGGCAAACGGTCAACACCAGTTCCCANTTAAAAAAAAAAAAAAAACACAATCACAAGACATTAAATTTTACTAACCTTGTGTAAATGGGTGATGACAGAGAGGAGACCTTCTGATAATGAAAGTGAACAAATTGGAATGTCGATCAACCTCGACCATCGACATCAAAACCAGCCCCAGTCCAACCGGGACCCCTACCCTTAGGCACTGCTCCTATTCCTTTAACTCTCCCTTGAATAGAGCTTTTCTTCTTCCCTCTTCCCTCTCCATTGTTAGAAACAGGTGGGATTTGGCCATTTACGGCTGTGTGTCCTATGCTGACTGTGGGTTTTGTTGATCCACTGGAAATTTCTGATGTATGAGCAATGGATGAATCTTGAGTTATACTACCCGGCATATTTCTTAGATTCTCGTCCTAAAAAATGGGATTTGGCCAGTCATAAAAATTCTTGGATAATGGTTCATTAAGTACTGATCTTAGGTGAGTTTCATAGATAAAGCAAACAGGTCTCATACATTTGTTTTGAAAGCAAACAATAACGACAGCTGGTTAAATTACTAATGTGGTGAGCACGGTAGCCTATGTGCATGAAACAACCATCAAAAGAAAATGGAATTATCAAGACACTGGTTGATGTTATCATAATATCATTTAACAATCATTGTTGAGTATTAATTCGATTAATCCTAGAAACTTTGGAAAAAATAGATCGGGCATGTGTCAGACTAAAAGCTCCTATAGTGTGCGTGTTTTGAATGTCTACTAATTTACTAGCAGTTTGAAAAGCAAAATTACTTATTTAAAAATTGAATTGATGTTAATAATAAGTTAATATAGTGAGCGTAGATGGTATACATTTCAATTGTTTTTGTCAGACTTTGGAATTTAAGAAACTCAGACAAACAACTATATCAATAAGGAATATGAAGCGGTCTAAAAAGAGATTAGGAAAGATAAATTCAAGATCTACAGGATGAACAGGACAAAAGGTGGGACCAAATTATGAAAAACTCATAGATGAAGGTAGACGGGTTTGGATAAACTAACAGAAGAAACGGATGCAGACATTCTGCTTGGGTTCAGAGCTTCCAGTCGGCGTTTTAGTTCCTCCAATCTAGAAAGCTGGGTATTGCTACTTTCTTGGACCTGCGAAAGAATATTGTTTACAACACGCAACATAAAATAAACAGGATATGTTTCTATAATTTTTCCCACCAGTTTATTCAAATCTTCACAGAGCTTCTGTTTCTCTGCTTCCTCATCCTGCACGACTTTTGTTGCGGCTTCCCAGGCCTAGCATTTGGAAGAACGTTTATCAGATATAGTAACAGAAATAGAAACGAGTATATACTTGACTACTTGTTTTAGTAGAATAAGAAAAGGGAAAGAGACACAAAAGTCTACAAAAAATAGAATCACACAGGAGAACCTCAACATAGTATGGTAAATCGAAAGTAACATAAAATTAAAAGACATATAAATATATGGTGTAGTTCCAAATGGAGCTTATTTCAAAAACTATGTGGAGCTTATTTCAACCATCTCATATAGTCACAGCATCTTTTCGCCAAAATACAGCATACATCAACTCAAAATAAGAAAGCACCACAGAAGAGGTTCGAAACCGCATTAAGATCTAGAAACAAAAAATATAACGAGACAGGAGTAATAGACTTGTTTTTTAAAGCCAGGTGAATCACAACCATGTCAACCAAGCAAAATAGACCATAAAACAGCAATATTTATATATATAGCTGGATGTGGAAGAAGAAAAAAAGTGATTATTGTTCAGATTATGATTGCTAGTTATTTTCTAAATATAAATTTGTCAACACAAAATGAAATTTCAACAACCAAATCGACATATTGGAAGATGTGAAAAACAATGAGATTTGCGAAGTAGCCAAAAAAAGAAAGAGCAGAACGATAGCAAATGCAAATCCATTCTACCTCTCTATTAATAAAACGCCCTATGCCTTGAACATATATAGTGAATTTCACAGAACTGAGTATCAGTTAGTAAAATAGTAAATACATCAAAGGTGTACCATACATCTAGTTCTGCAAGTCAAGAAAATATGAAGTGTTATTTTGCATCGTGGCCATCACATGAATAACATTTATCACTAAATTCCTCATTTATCTCACTATAAGAGGACATACCTTTTTGGCTTGTTCTTCTTTCAGTTTAGCAACACGAATTCTCTCTGTTGACATTTCTATTTTCTTCCGCATGTGTTCAAGTGCTGCCAAAGATAGAAAAATTAAAGAACTACTTGGAAAGCCAGTCAGAAGTCATTTACAGTCAGTAAAATACATACCTGCTTTTTTTGGTCCAGCAGTAAGCTTCATTTCCATTGTTAGGTTTGCTAATTCCCGCTCAACATCACGAATCTTTGAATAATTTTCGTCAATGTACCTGAGTGGATATACTTAACCTATTATTTGACCACTAGGTAAGGTAACTAGATAAGGTGAAAAAAATATCAGGGCATGTAATTAGCCCGTAAAGGTAACACAATTTTACAGAAATAAGTAGCTCCATGGCAATAGAAAATTAAACGATAAGATAATCCTATAGTTTCCTTGATAAATAAAGGAAATCCTATGAAACGAAAATGACCCATGTTTTGACCGAAACCCTGACGCTTTACTGAAATTCTCCATATTTTATGGACAATTAACTATTTTAGCAGGAAAACAGGTCAACTAATTTTGCTCTACCAAATTGACTCTCTCATCCAGGTAAGCATTGTTTGGACTCAAACCTATTGTGAATTAAATGATAGTGAATGATTTTCCATGCTCGTAAAGTATAAAAATTCTTCGACGCCACCCACTTTCACTCTTACAAGAATTGAATCACAACTAATTTTTTGATCTTCAGCTTCATAAAATAAGGAGAGGGGGGACACAATCAATGCATAAAGTGGTTCGAAATTGGGGAACTAACTTTATTTCTAGTTCTTGAAGCACATAAAAAATATAAATCTTAGCTTCTTATATTGCCTATACCGTCCTTGTAATCATTTCTAACTTTTAAAATTTCTGATGATCAACATTGCTAATGGCATATGGATTGTGGAACAATTTTTACTGAGTCCCACATTTCCTATGTCCATCAAATTTATTATCCTCAATACATAACATTGCAAATTTTCCTACATGAAAACTAGATCTTCTACCAGACCGAAAAATAGTAATTTCCAAATGATAAGGGCATTACCAAAGGATCATCTGAAGCACAAACTTTAATCAATACACAACATAAATACTTCAGAAAATTTAAAATGCAGCGAAGTACACTGGTACAGGGGCCACTTATTTACAATTAAGCCAAAACTCGAGAACCTCAATACAAAAACAGGCAAAGCAAAATATAACAAAAGGACACAATATTATAGCCAAAACTATAAACGGAATTACTGAAATGGTGAAGAAACCAACGTACTTCCTCAACTGAAGCTGTTCTTCCTCAATTATCTGAAATCAAAACGCAATTTAAAATAAATAAATAAATCACCACCAAACTAAATTTTTTCATGACTTGAGGTGTTAATTGTTAATGACTAAATAAACTAAAATTCCGAAAGGAAGGCAATACCTTCTCGGTGTAAGCGATGACAGGTGACTCTCGTGCAAGGCCATCAGGCCCGATCTCGGGTAGCAGCAATGTACTCGCATTGTTGTTTGGGCTCCGGTTGGGGTTGGTCGCCATAGGAAGAAAATCTCGTTGATCTATCACCCAACCTTTCTTCTCCAACAGCCGTGCCAAATTAAAGAGAGAGAGAGAAAGAAAGACGTGAAATAAAGTTAAAGAAGAGAAAAAGTCGGGCAACACGCGAGATGAAGGTTAATTACGGTGGCGTAAGGTGGTGAAACTTTCTTTCCGCCGCTGGATTTGTGCCTTCTTTCGCGACGGAGCAATTGCCGGCAGATCGGGGAGAAGGAACGTGACAATTTGCAAATATATATACACGATGGATCCAACGAGTAGGGATGTGTTTAAATGGCCTAGTCAAAGCATGCGTAGATGACCTTTCTAATAATTTTCTTATAAAATGACAAATTACAATAATTTCATTAATATATTGTGTTTATTTTTTTGCTCCAATGCCATTTCATATTATCGTTTTAGCGTGCTACTCTTGTTCAAGTCGAGGTGGTGTGATGCGTACGAGGGTCGTCGGCTGAAGAATGCGTATAACTGGGCTCGACGAGCTCGAATCAAGGAACAACTAAAGGAATGTTGTCCAGTGGCTAGCGGCGCTAAGAGTGCCGAGCTAGCGGCCGGTGAAACGCCGCTAATGATACTAGCGGGCGACTAAAGCTTCCCAGTTACAGGGGTTACCGGCGNCCCCCCCCCTAGCGGCGCTAGGATCTGAGCGGGAGTAGTTTATTTTTAGTTTTTCTTTTCATTTTGGAAGTGGTATTGTCTTTATTTAGGTTTTTCAGACATTGAACGAATTATCATTCACTTTTTATCAAGTTTCTCATCAAAAGCTTCGTGTCAAAATCAAGGCCGTTAGAGTGGGTTTTGATACAAAATTAACTATTCTATACACGATTCGTAACATTGGTGCTTTCATTAAGAGTTACTAATCATGTATCATCATGACGAATCGAGAGAGGATGGATTATATGAAGGAGAGCATGCGAGCAACAAGTGAAGAAATTCAATCCACGAACCAGACGATGGCAAGGCTCGAGAGGATGATGCTTCAAACAGTTGGCCGACGAGCAAGGAGAGGCAACCATTCTGATTCTTCATCAGAAGGTTCAGCCGAATCCGAGGGAGATCATGAAATTCGGAACGAATTTGCAGCGGATGAAGACAATCGATCAAGAGTGTCGAACCACTGTGGAAGGCAACGGGTTGAGAGGTCGAAGTTGATGCTTCCTACCTTTAATGAAGCGGATTCGGATTCGTGGTTGAATCGTGCTTGTCAATACTTTGAGATTAACGAGAGTGAAATATGCCGCTTATTATCTCGACGGTGAAGCGAATGTGTGGTGGCAATGGTTATCAAGGGTATACAAAAAAGGAGGACAAGCGGATTTGTTGGAGGAACTTCGAGAAGGAGTTACTTACCAGATTTGGAACTTCGGATTATTATGATTATAGTGAATCTTTGTCTCATATTAGACAAACGGAGGCTTTACGTGAATACCAAAAAAGAATTCAAAAGAATTGTTGGTCGGGTTCGTGATTGGCTGGATGGTGCACTTGTTGGTGCATTCATTGGTGGATTGAAGCCAGATTTAGCAGGTGAGGTGTGTCTGATAAACTGAGGACCATGCGAGCTGCGATGGAGGCCACTCGAATGCGTGGTGATCATTTATCAGCAATGCGTAGAGTCAATCGGCCTGAGGTGAGACGACTAACACCTTTTCCTTCAAATGGACAACGAATCGGGATCAACACATCAACCGGCAACGGCAAAGAAATTCCTTCTGGGGTCAAGCGTTTATCTTAAGAAGAGATGCATTCCCATCCAATCACCCATTCCCATTCAGAGGCAAAAAGACAAAGGCTTGTGCTTTAATTGTGACGAGAAATTCACAACAGGGTATCGGTGCAAAGAAAGGCTATCGTTTCAAATTGAATGTGTTGAATCTGATGAAGATGAGCTAGGAGAGGAGGAGTCGAAAGATGAAATTGAATATTGTGAGGAGGATCCGGAGATATCAGTTCATGCAATGGGGGGACTCAAGGACCTAAGAGAATGAAGATGCCAGCGTGGGTTCGTGATCGACTTGTAATTGTGCTAATCGACAATGGTTGGTCTCATAACATTATTAATTCATCGTTGTCCGATAAGTTAATATTGCATGTTACAAAAGTTGAGCCTTTTGAAGTGAGGGTTGCTAATGGTGAAAGATTAAAATGTTCGGAGTTCTACAGGGGTGTGTCGATTAAAATACAAGGAGTCACCTTAAAGGCCGACTTGTATGCACTACCTTTGGTAGGTCCGGATGTGGTTTTGGGAGTTCAATGGTTGGAGGAATTGGGTTCGGTTACTACGGAATATAAGGTGGGAACAATGGAATTTCGTTGGGGTGATGGATTGGCTAAATTATCAACATGGGTTAATGAGAGAACGAAGGAGGTGAGTGCTCAGAATTTGAAGAAATTGTGAAAGAAAGGTAGCCAAATTTTTGCTATTAGAGTTGAAAAATGAGAGGAATTAGACATGGAGCAAACACATCAACAGGAAATTGACGAGTTGCTTCAACGATTCGAGGAGGTGAAGGCTGATCCAAAAAATCTACTGCCAATAAGAGAGTTAGATCATCGTATTCCCTTGTTGGATGAAACAAAAGCGGTACATGTACATCCGTATCGGTAACAAGTCCGTGAATGCTTTGTTGGGTTCGATAGTACAGTACGGGCTGTACGCAGCGGAATTTAAAATTTTTAAAGTAAGTATTTATCGTATAAATACAACACCCGTACATACTAATTGCGAATTAACTGATCGTCATCTTTAAAACATGCATCATATACAAATTTTGATTTGTTACTATAAAGTAAATATTAGTAAAAATATTTACCGAATTTCTTGAACTCCTTCACTATTGATGATGGATGAGGGAATCGGTTCCCGGTTGTAACTTCAACGACTTGAGGTTACTCGCTAGAGGAATCCAAGTGTCTTCCCTCTAAACGTATCCACCCTATGAAGCCCGGTTCCGACGACTTTCCTTCGCTAGTAGAAAAGACTCGGTTTTCTTGTATAGGAATATTTATGAATTTTATTTGGGAATTTTAAGAACTCTTTCTTGAAGTTTTATGAAGAACACTTTCTTCTCTTTCTAACACTTAGAAATTTAGGATCAAAAACTTCACTTAAATGCAAAACCATTTTGCATATATTTATACTAAACATTTTAGCATAAAATAATCAACATTTAGTAATATTAAATAAAATCAAATTTTATTTAAATAGTATTTACTAACTTTTGACTTTGAAAATAATAAGATATGTTAAGTAGTTCAAACAACCATCAACAACCATTTTATTATAATCATATTTATTATTTTAATCCTTAAATCATATTTAAAGATATAAATAATAATTGGATAATAAATCTTGAGAATCTTTCTCAAGACTTTATTATTATATCATTTTCCCAATATTATAATAATCATATTATTATTATTTTGGATTTTTGAAATTTAAAATCCTATTTTAAAATTCAACTTTATTAATTTAGTAATTACCTTAATTACTAAAGTAATATCCAAAATGTAATTAATCAATCTTATTGATTAATATATTCCTTTAATTGATATCTAATCAAATTAGATATTTATCAATTAATTCTAACCATTAGAAATACAATCTTTACCTTTGTTCATAATTAGTGTGACCTTTTAGGTTCACCTTAATACTAGTAGTGGGTTTACAACACTTTGTAATTTGAGTTAAATCTTATTAACTCTTATTCATGAATTAACCCTTTAATTTATGAACCCACATATCATGGTAACACCTAGCAAGTAGCATGAATCTAGTATTAAGTGAATAGCGAGTAAACCTATTCCGATTACAACTCCATACATGTAAAATCCTTTCGACATCTAATTTCCCGATTAAGTCTTGGGTATGATTTTGTCGAAACCCAAATTGACTTAATAACTATGATTCTATTTCATGTTTATTAACCCGGTTATGAATCACTATTCATCTCTGCCTTGGCCAAGGACTTTGGATTAATAACTATGAAACACATAGGAAATTCACTTATCTTCATAAGTGTCGAATCCTTTATTGGCCACTAACAAACTTCCATACATATTAACATAATACCCAACTTATCCCTTTAAACGATAGTGCTAGCTACCAAAAGGATAAATCAAAGTAGAATGTAATATGCACAAAGTTACCATTGTGCCTCAAGTCTTAGGATTAGTCATGTACTATTGTAACATGAAAATTCTTATTCGACTGAATAAATTCTTCATTAAGAATTTTCATACGGTCATGTTCAGTGAACTTGTTCTCTAACAAGCACCCACATAAATGTACTTACGTCTTACGCTAATGTTGATGGAATGCAACATTCTTGTCCAACAAGCATACAAACTATGTGCAAGTCTTTTATGGATTATTCGATATCCCATCTCGAAACATCCATCGACTTGGAACTGTATTTAAGATCACGGCTTTCAAGGTATGTTCCATGATCACCATCTCTATGCGCAACCATACCTTATAACCATAAGTGATCTAGGGATTTTATCTTAAGTGCAATTATAAGATAAATGCTTTCTCTTAAGATAAAGAAATGCCTTATTCATAATATAATTCCAATAGACTGTATTTACAAGTAGAATACGTCCAATTAGATTGGAACGCCGGGTACCCTACTCTAACAATCTCCCACTTGCCCTAGTTCCAATCACTCATGTATCTAAGACCCATCTTCTCAAGATGTCCTTCGAACACTTTCTGTGATAAGGGTTTAGTTAAGGGGTCTGCTATATTTTCTGCTGAGTCGACTCGCTCCATCACGACATCGCCTCTACCAATGATTTCTCTAATCAAATGGTATCGCCTCATAATGTGTTTGGATTTTTGATGAGATCTTGGCTCCTTTGCTTGCGCAATAGCCCCATTGTTATCACAATAAATCATTATTGGATCAACAACGGATGGTACTACACCCAACCCTTGGATAAAGTTCCTTATCCAAACAGCTTCTTTTGCAGCATCAGATGCAGCAATATATTCAGCCTCTGTCGTAGAGTCAGCAATTGTTTCTTGTTTGGAACTTTTCCAACTAACTGCTGCTCCATTCAGAGTAAATAAGTATCCAGACATGGATTTATAGTCGTCTTTATCGGACTGAAAACCAGAATCAGTAAAGCCTTCTAGTTTCAGTTCTCCATTGCCGTATACCATAAAGATATCCTTAGTCCTTCGTAAGTACTTAAGAATCATCTTAACGGCTTTCCAGTGTTCTTCACCTGGATTAGACTGATATCTG